AATTTGGATGTGTACATGCATTGGGAAAGTTGGGGAAAGAAAGTGGAGGTAATCAAAAACTTTGGAGACTCCACTTATATTGATAATTGGAAGTTGAAAAAAATATATGGATAATTTGTAAAATAGGGTGATACTAAATAACCAATTAGATTTTGTTTTGAGGAATGTGTCTTATTAGTTGAAAAGCAATAGCATGGATACTTATCCTATAGTTAATATTTTCTAGCAATGCAGCCCAATCGAACATAAATATTTAAATCTTTTGAGAGTCTGCACCCGAGACGTCAAAATATCTCAAGAGCTTCTTAGACTTTCTTCAGAAAGTAGCCATTTCCCAGAAGCAAAGAATCTCATTATCTGAAGCTTTTTCTCTTGAGATTACGGTTTTTAAAATAGTTCTTAAACAACAGCTATGAATCGAAGCCTGTTAATAAGTACCACTGGGTTTAGTTGAAGTTGATTATTTTAACTCTATCATTAAAGAGTTTTTAATGAGAAAAAGTTTTGCAAGTCAACTTTTCAAAGCAAAGAAATGCAAACAGTGTAAACAGAGAATTTGATTGCATCATTAAGATAGAAGCTATTCATAATTTTTTTTTATTGAAATTGAAAGAATGGTAGTTATTCTTTTTATAATTAAATATCTTCCATTGAATCAAGTTGGTGTAGAGATGATTTTCATGCTTCCATGTTTCCCATTCCAAACATGGATTAACTGTGAATGGATTTTAGGAAAAATCTATATCAGAGACAATAAGGAAAGGTAATATTTAAGGTGCAAATGTTCAAAAGACACATAAACACATACGTCAATGTATTTCAATAGGCCTGAATGTTTGTGTGTGCATAATTTCTGGAAGAATATGTTTTTATGTCTGACTCTAAATTAAGTCCATTGGTCAATGTCAAATGCAACAAAAGTGAAAATAATTGCTTAGAGGTAAGCAGTTCAGGGGTGTTGGGTCACAGCCCCAAATTTGCAATATGGCAAGCACAGTGTCATAATCCAAGACTCACCCCTCACTATAAGGCAATGAACCCCAATATAACCCAAGGAAGTGGGTTTTGGATTGTGATGTACCTGATGTATTGCAAATGTTGCTCTCCTCCCCAATAGAAATCACATTTAAGTTAACCCTCCCTTGTCTTATGATACATTAATTATTTTATCCGGGCCAAGGTTTGCACTCCTTTGCACCTTCATTGCAAGCAATCTTGGTCATTAGTGAATTGAATGTAGTGCAACTGAACTTTGGAAAAGTGAAAAAAATCTTAAGCAACATCCAACTTGTCTACCCATATCTATCCATGGAGAAAGAGGTGGTTTTTAATATAGTTTTATATGCTTTTTTGTTTTAATAATGTCTTTCTGCTTTATTTTTGTATTGGTTTTAATTGTTTTAATTGCCACCCAGAGTTATGTATTTGTGATGTGCAACTATATAATCCAAATAAACAAACAAAGGTGCATAGCTAATATGGCTTGCCTTGCAATTCTTCCTTGCAATGTGACATTTGTTTACTATCTGCTCAATCAGAATAGAACTGGAAGGGAGCTTGGAGGCCTTCTAGTCCAACCACCTGCTCAAGCAGGTGACCATATACAATTTGAGACAAGTGGCTGTCCAGTCTCTTCTTAAAAACCTCAGTGATAGAGCACCCATGACCTCTGAAGGCAAGCTGTTCCACTGGTTAATTATTCTCACTGTTAGGAAGTTTCTCCTTAATTCCAGGTTCCCTATCTCCTTGATTAGTTTCCATCCATTGTTTCTTGTCTTGCCTTCTGGTGCTTTGGAAAATAAGTTGACCCACTCTTCTTCGTGGCACCTCCTCCAATACTGGAATACGACTACCATGTCACCCCTAGTCCTTCTTTTCTCTAGACTGGCCATACCCAATTCCTGCTACTGTCTTTCATATGTTTTAGTCTCCAGGCCTTTAAACATCTTAGTTGCTAGAAAACAACATGGACACCAGAGGAATCCATTATTCAAAAAATATTCGATTGTGCCAAAATGAATAAATTAACATTAAAACTAAATGAAAAAGAGGATTCAGAATACTATACGGTGTGGGATAATTGGTACAGGTGGATTGATAACTGATTTAAAAACGGATGAAGACTAGTATAAAGTTTAAGATACATATATATATTTAGGAGTTATAGAATGTATAGGAATAGTTAATTTAACCTGTTTTGTGTGGGAAAAGTAACACTGTCTGTTCGATTATGTACTTTATGTACTCGATTGTATACACAATAAAATTTTTGATATATTAAAAGAAAAGATGCCAGAACAAAACAACAACATCTTAGTTGCTCTTCTCTATACTTTTCCTAAAGTCTCAACATCTTTTTTGTAACCTGGTGACCAAAACTGGATGCTCAAATGCTTCTAGTTCTGAATTTGCTTTTAAGGATAAAACAACATTAGTCTTTATTCAATAACAGTTCAGTCTATGAATCTCTGCTTCCAAATTTTGAACATTTGCCTTGGAATGTTTTTGAAGATGGAATAGATTGACAAAAACATGATTTTTTTCTCTTGTTTTGCCTTTCAGTCATATTGTAGTCCCATGACCTGCTCACCTAGCAAAGAAGGGTTGGCTTTGTAATCCACTCCACTGGATGCCCAGAGCCACAGAACTCAAAGCAGTCCTTATTGATCTGAGCATTAACCAATCCAGTATGGAAGTCCAATTTTGTTTTCACTGTTGTTAATGATGGCTTCTCTGTTGAGGCTTGTCTGGCTTGCTTGAAGCTTCTGGCTGGCAACGCATTGTCATTAACCCCTATATTAAAAAGATTTGGGTAACCTTGATAATGTACCAGGAAATCAAAGGAAATGGTATGAAGGATGAACAAAATAAGATATAGGATTGGTCCCTAACATTACAGTCCCTGAAAGTTTCAGGAATGTAATTCCCATGGAGATCTCTTCCCATATTTTTGTAGTCAGAGCTGACAAAAAAAATAATAAGACCTAAGAAGTTCCATTTGTAATGTTATTGTTAACTGCTTGGATCTTCAGGGATTCTTTCTGAATAGCAACATTTAATGAGTCAAATTCTCCAAAGGATGCAGCCCATCTGTAGCTTCTTCATACATGCTGCAATGCCCGAGTAGGCCAAATGATGCAAACACCATCCTGTGTTCAGACCAAAAAAATAAGAAATAGCATTATTTTGGGAGTTCCCCATGGAATCAACTAATCTTAGAAGCTATATGTATTATGTAGCCATTTCCTCTTCCCTATGGACAGAGGGCTCAGATTAGAACTCATGGAATTGAATTCAAATGCAATACTGAGTGTTCATTGTTTCTAAGAGTTGGATCATTTTGATAAACCAGAATGACTTATGCTATATAGATCTAGATTCCGGCAGATATTTTTGTTACTCTTATACCAGTCTTTTTCCATGAATCAACCCACTCCAGGGTGGAAAAGTTATGACTGTTGAGTAACAACATCAATCGTTTTATTAGCATAAAGCTTAAAATAACTGAGATCTTAAGTCTCTTAAGATCCAAAAATTTCTCTTCCACTTAATGCATGGACGTATGAAGGTATGAGGTGTGTGTATATGTGTGCTTTGTTTTTTAAGTCAAGCGTTTTGTTTTTATGGTAGATGTAAAAGTGGAGTGGGCGATATAGTTCTGCCTGTATTTCCCATTAGGAAGCTTTCTAACTTTCCTATAAAAAAATAGTTTGTTTTTAAAAATTAGTGTTTATAAAAAAAGAATCATATTCTAGTTCAGCCACTGAAAATTATTTTGCTAGCAGAAGTCACAATCTAGCCAACTTTTGACAGTTATAATGCCTTCAATTAGACAGCATTAAGCAATACTTTATTGTTAATTTTACTGAAATTGAGTATATGGGATATAGATTTAAATTTGGCTTTATTGTACTGGTTCTTATTTCTGCCTTTAAATGAACAAAGCAAACTTTGATCCAGATATCTTTCATAAGAGAGTTTTATTGGTTGTAATTTCTATTGATGATTTCATGCACAAGCTACCTTCCCATTAACACATTACACATTATGTTTGAAGAAAAATCTTGCTTGATAGTTCGGACTGAATGATTGAGTCTGGCCCAATATTACTCAGTGAGTCCAAAGCTGAAAAAGGGTTTGAACAGAGCACTTCTAAACTTCTAAAACAAGGAATCCTTGGTGCTCTCTGAGCCTGGTTGTTTTCTTGTAGACATTTAATTACCCAAACTAGGTAACATCATCAGTGCAAGTAAAGGGCCCCTCATTTTGACCCTGGGCTACAAATATTCTCCTTTACTGGTACTTCTAAAATCCATTCAAATGTTTTAGCCACATAACATACCAGTTCTGTGTTTAAAATGTTTTATTGTGAGCATAGTTGTCAAGCTAGGCAAGTATGGTAGAAAGTAGATCATCCTAGATGTTTCAAAACCATCCAATTCAGAGATTTTTTGCAATGGCTCATTTAAATGAAAGTAACTCTGAACATCAGGATCCCTTCCACTGAAATGAACTTAAAAAAAAAAAAATACTATCGGAATCATTCATAGGGGGTAATATACAGTAAGAGATATCCTGGAAACCACATCTCTATTAGCACAAAAAACCCTGAGACTTGTATGATATAGAATAGAATAGAATAGAATAGAATAGAATAGAATAACAGAGTTGGAAGGGACCTTGGAGGTCTTCTAGTCCAACCCCTTGCTTAGGCAGGAAACCCTACACCACTTCATACAAATAGTTATCCAACATCTTTTTTAAAACTTCCAGTGTTGGAGCATTTACAACTTCTGGAGGCAAATTGTTCCACTTTATTAATTCTTCTAACTGTCAGGAAATTTCTCCTTAGTTCTAGGTTGCTTCTCTCCTTGATTAGTTTCCACCCATATTTCTGATTGTATTTTAACTCAATTATTTTTACTGGTATTTCAATGACTTAAACCCTTGTAAACCTTGTCTTTCAGTCCTGAGCAGAAATCCAGCCAAACAAAGGCACCATGGAAAATGAGAATGTAACTTCGTGGACAGAATTTCATCTTATTGGACTTAGTCACCTGAAATCTCCCACTGTTTTCTTTGTCATTGTTCTGTTTATGAGTCTTATTGCTCTGACGGGAAACTCCCTCCTCCTCTTTCTAATCCAGATGGACTCCTCACTTCATACCCCCATGTACTTCTTCCTGAGCCAGCTGTCCTGCGTGGATATGGGCCAAATCCTCATTGTGGTCCCTAAAATGTCAGTCATTTTTTTAACTCAAAGAACCACTATTTCACTGGGAGGCTGCGTAGCACAGATTTTTTTAACTCTGACCATGGGGACCTCAGAATGTTTCCTGTTGACTGTCATGTCATACGACAGGTACGTGGCCATCTGCAGACCCTTGCAGTACCCAATTCTTATGAGGAGAACCATCTGCCTCCTCATGAGTGTAGGAATCTGGTCTTCTTCATCGCTTATCATTATGGTAATAGCAATTTATGTACAATCTCTACCTTACTGTAGGTCAAACGTAATTGATCATTTTGTCTGTGAATTCCCAGCCTTGATGAAATTAACCTGTGCTGATACATCTGGATTTGAAAAAGTAATATACATTGACAATGTGTTGATAATTCTCTTGCCCATCTTAGTGATCATCTTCTCATATATAGCCATTCTTGTGCAGATTTTGAACATGCACTCAACTGAGGGAAGGCACAAAGCACTGGGCACCTGCGTGTCCCATTTATGTGTAGTGAGTATCTTCTATGGGGCAAGCATCCTGACATACAGTACTCCTGTGTCTTCTTACTCAGCCCGTAAGTCCATGATTTATTCGATCTGCATCACAGTTGTTCCTCCAATGCTTAACCCTTTTATCTATAGCTTACGGAACAGAGATGTTATAGCAGCTCTACGAAAACTCCTTGTAAGACATCCATCCTATTAATAAAAGAGCTGAAATATTTTTTTTGTTAATATTCTTTTTTAAAATTACAGAAATAGATTAAAAAGATGTCTGTCGATTTTATTCACAATAGTGGAAATAAAAACTCTTTGCTAACAAAGGTGATGTTCGAGGAAAGAAAGGAGGTGCCTGGTATTAAAATCACCGAATCATTTGATCACAGACCCACATATAGCATAGGATACCATGGACCCTTCTCCACTTGCCATTACCACACCAAAATAATTCCATGACCTTGATATTTTTCTCCATGGAACTTTAAATTTGCTTGCTTGCATGTTTTCCTTCCTTCCTTCCTTCCTTCCTTCCTTCCTTCCTTCCTTCCTTCCTTCCTTCCTTCCTTCCTTCCTTCCTTCCTTCCCTCCTTCCTTCCTTCCTTCCTTCCTTCCTTCCTTCCCTCCCTCCCTCCCTCCCTCCCTTCTTCCATCCATCCATCCATCCATCCTTTATGTGTAAGAGATAAAGTTAACAATGTGCAGCTGAGAAGATTTCCTGTGTGAGCTTTTGGACTGAAGACGTTTCAGTTAGAGTTAGGAGAAAGTATTTTAGAAGAGGCAGGGAGTAGATTGGTGTGTGATAAAGAGGTGTGAAGAATGAAATTGTTTGTATAATACGAAGCAGACCATCTAAGAGAGACACTCTGGAGGCTGTTCATCTTCATTTGAACTAGTTTTGTAGAGTGAAGCCATAAGACACTGGTCTTTGATTGCTGTGTAAGCTATGTTTGGAGTTGGAGTGACAGTGGTAGAGACAGGGCAGCATAACATTATGACTGCCATTTCTGAGAGATTGGCAGTCAGAGGGGAAGGCTAAGATCAGTGCTGGTGTGCAGACTGAGGTAGCCTTCTATGGAAAAATCAGTTTTATAACAGCCTCATTTCCCCCATTGTTCTGAATTGTCCAAGTACAGTATTCAAAGTTTGTGAAGATTTGTCCCTTGGAAATCAGAGATATAAAAAAGAGACACTAGAGGCAGCATATGGGAAAATATGTCATTGTATAGTTTTTAGTGGACTTGATGCTTGGGTAGCACTTCAATTCAGCAGTGGAATAAAATCCTAATGGAAGCAAAACAGCATCTTTGCTTCCAATTCCACCCACATTTCTTTTTCAGTCTGTGACACTGCAAAGAATTCCTATACTCAGTCCTTTATTTTTGCATGTCTTTGCTCTAATTTAATATTATCCTTGATGAAGAGTTCTGTAATGAGAAAATGACTCAGTATTTGGATTCATTACTGAAGGCATTGCTGTACTATGAATGAATGGATGGATGAAATTTTGCTTTTGATCTGAAGCATGATAAAAATATTGATATATATTCTTTATATGTTTTCGTAGATTTTCACGGGTAGAGGTATGCAAGTTTTGGTGTATTCGGGTCTTTTCCCATGTAAGATTGAGAGTAGGAGAGGAGAGGGAAGAGAGAAAGATGTGCTCTCCTCATCTGGCGCAGGAAATGCAGATGCTGGTTTGCATGCTTCACTAAGAATGAGGTGTGGAGAAACCAGTTCAGATTGTTAGTTATCTGTACCCCCAGATACTTAATACTCTTGACCACCTCTATAGCTGCAGTCTTGATATTGAGTGGAGTATGACCATGCCGACTCTTTTTAAAATCTGCAATGACCTCCCTTGTTTTATTAACATTTAGAACCAGGTTACTTTTATTGCACCAGTCCACCAGAGCCTTCACCTCTTCCTTATAAGCATCTTCATTGTCATGCCAGATAAGACCCACCACTGCCATGTCATCCACATACTTCACGATATGATTCATAGCAGATTTGGCACAGCGGTCGTGGGTCGTCAAGGTGAACAGTGGTGGACTCAAGACACAGACCTGTGCGGAACCCGTACTCAAGGAGATGGCTGGCATTGGAAACTTTTCTTCCAGCTCACACAAACTGGGGCCTAGCATAAGACATAGCATAAGAGCAGGAGACAGAGTCATTCCATACGCAGGCATCTTCAGAAGGAGCTTCCTTGTGAAGAAGCTTTGTTACAGGAGAAGCAGATAATGAGGCCCTAAGTCATTTATGGCTTTAAAAGTTAACCCCGACATTTGAAATTAAGTTTAGAAAGCCCCTGGCAGACCGCCCACATCTTTCACAATGATTGTCATGAGATATTGACCTTTAGTTCATGTGAGCAGCTAAGCAAAGGCATTTGTACCAATTGTAACTTCTGTGCAGTAACAGCTCTAAGAAGAGCTGTGGTGGTGCAGTGGTTAGAATGTGGTATTGCAGGTTTACTCTACTCATTGCCAGGAGTTCAATCCTGACCAGTTGAATTGAATGCTAGGCAACAGCTGTTCATTTTTAATTTTTCTTTTGCCTTTTAGAATGCAGACTTTAGGTTACCACTTAGCATAGAGGAGCATGTAGGGTGCCTAATGATTTCCAGAAGGTTCAAAGGGGCTGCCACTAGGTGCAGATTTGAGGTCTCACATTCAGAGAGCCACCTACAGAAATACACCACACTTCCAAACTGTACATACATACATACTACTGCTCATTGTGACCCTTTGCTAAAGCAGATAGAAATTGAACCTTACGAGCTGAGGTGCTTCAGACCTGAAGAAGCTTCTTGGATGAGAAGCGAAACGTCTTCAAAGAAAAAGCAGAAAGTCCAGTTGCCTCTTGAAAAAGCATCTTTGGGACTCCATAGACATTGAGTCTTATGTTTCATAAGAGGCTAATCTACAAACATTTTACAGAAACATTCTCATGCTTCTGGTTTAATAGAATGTTCCTAATTGTTTCTGAATTCCATAATTATCCAGGAATATTTAATTACCGGTAAATGAAATTAAAAGGTTTTTTTTTTTAAGCAAAAATGCTTAGAATTGTAAGGCACACAAATAAGGAATTCTCCAATCCTATGGCCATATCTGAACTAAGGTAGTCTTTGACTTACGACCACAATTGAGCCCTACATCTCTGTTGCTAAGTGAGAGATTTGTTAAGTGAGTTTTGCCCCATTTTATGACCTTTCTTGCCACAGTTGTTAAGTGAATCACTGCAGTTGTTAAGTTAGTGATGCAGTTGTTAAGTGAATATTCCTTCCCCATTGACTTTGCTTGTCAGAAGGTCACAAAAGGGGATCTATAGAACCGGTAGTAAAACCGGCGGGAGGCTCCGCCCACCGACCCCGACGTCATCAGAACCCTTCTGCACGTGGCCCCGTTGCGAACCTGTAGTAAAGGTAAGTAGAACCCACCCCTGCACACGACCCCTGGGGCACTGCAACCGTCATAAATATGAACCCATGCCAAGCATCTGAATTTTGATCACATGATCGTGGGGATACCGCAACTGTCATAAGTGTGAGAAACATTCATAAGTCACTTTTTTCAGTGCTGTTGTGACTTCGAATGGTCACTAAAGGAACTGTTGTAAGTCAAGGACTATCTGTATTGCAATGCACTTTACATGTTGGCTACCCTTGAAAAGTATACAGAAGTTTCAGCTAGTATAGAATGTAGTCAGGCAAGCAATTTTGGGTACCCCAAGGATGGCACATGCAACACCTCTGCTGTTCAAGCTGCATTGGGTGCTAATTCAATGGTGAAATCCAATTTTTTAAAATTACTGGTTCTGTGGGCGTGGCTTGGTGGCCGTGGCAAGGGAAGGATGCTGCAAAATCCTCATTCCCACCCCACTCTGGGGGGAAGGATACTGCAAAATCCCCATTCCCACCCCACTCCAGGTAGAAGGATACTGCAAAACCCTCATTCCCACCCCACTCCTGGGGGAAGGATATTGCAAAATCTCCATTCCCACTCCACTCCTGGGGGAAGGATACTGCAAAATCTCCATTCCCACCCCACTCCTGGATGAAGGATACTGCAAAATCCCCATTCTCAGCCCCACTCCTGGGGTAAGGATACTGCAAAATCCCCATTCCCACCCCACTCTGGGACCAGCCAGAGGTGGTATTTGCCAATTCTCTGAACTACTCAAAATTTCTGCTACTGGTTCTCTGAACTACTCAAAATTTCCACTATTGGTTCTCCAGAACCTGTCAGAACCTGCTGGATTTCATCCCTATGCTAATTTGCTTCTAGGTCCTCAGAGATGAGGAGGACACCAACTCCAGAAGTGTCTGAAGACCTAGTTCTGCCAACTCCCTTGAGACTCACAGAGGAATGTGAAGCTATGTGGCTGGTTTGCAGCCTGAAGACTGTCCCACTGCCTTTTTAATTTTTAAACATTAGTAATCAGTTGTTCTAACTGCAACCTACTGAAATGTAATATGTTTTTTATGTTTTCTTTGAGTGGGAGACTTCCAAATTTGATGTATAAATAAAAAATGAAAATGAACTGGATAAAATCCAGAAAGATAAAAAAAACCCAGTACTGATAAAATATTATAATATTAAAAGATAACTTAACAAAACAAGCAGGTAGCATTTTGTCTCCTGCCTTCAGCCTTAACTTTTAGAATAACATTTGTAGAATTAGTACGAATTTTTGTTTGATATCTAATATCTAAGTGCACTATGACTCCTTCTTTTTCAAAATAAGAGAAAAATATCTGTTGGGTTTTGAAAGTGTGAGTGTGTAGAAAAGGGGAAAATGGCAGGAATTGTCTGAAAGAAATTGTAGGAAACACGACAGTCTGTTCAAACAGAATCATTTTCAGTTTTCTGACATCAGGAAGCCTCAAAGGTAAAGTTGTGATATAATTTATCCTTGGAGATTTTAAAAACTGGGAAATCAGATTAAGTGTTGTTTCTGGTTTAGACTTAGCCAAGTTGCACGGCACTTTTTAAAAACTTGGCAGTTAATATGTTTGGAGACTTAAATGAAGATTTTGCCATGAAAATAGTGGACCTGTAGATGATGAAATATTTTCAAGGCAAGATACATTCTTGTAGCTTTCGAATTATATTTGCAGTTGACATCTGATCAAATGATGGTCTGTTAATACTTGCTATTGTGAACCTGTGAATATTGAGCATTATATATTAAAACAGATTTCAAAATGTGCATTAA